GCGAATCTGTGCATTTTTGTAAGAAAAATATCCATATTCAAAACGTAATAATCACTTTAATGTAGCTTGTGCCAACAGTCCTACACGGAAGCAGTTCCGGGAGGATGACGTATGAGGTCGGCTTTACGTATGCGCCGGTGAGTCTCGTGAAAACCAACGTTTGTTAACAGGAGCAAAGGAAGCAAAGTTTCCTTACTTTAGCAAAGGAAAACCAGTCTCCTCTTGGCTTATATCGAAATTCTCTGACATTCTTCTTTACAAATCCTCGTTTTGTACTTCTAATAAGTGACCGGTGTTTTGTTTTCATCGCTCCCCTGCGTTTCCGCGTGCATCACTTCTGAGCGGCACATGCGCAAAGCTGACCACATACGTCATTCGCTCGGAGCTGCTTCCTTGTAGGACTGTTGTCTGTCCTGACTAACACGTGACAACCCCTCAACTGGGGTAAAAACTGTTTGAGAGCCAGGAAGACTGCTAGCATCTCCAAACGATTTATGTGCCAGCCACGATGCACCTCTGTCCAGACTCCACAGACTGGACGTCCTTGATGGACCGCTCCCCAGCCCGTAAGGGACGCGTCCGTAGTGATCGTCTTGCGGCGACACAACGTCCTCAGCTGGACTCCTTCTTGAAGGAAGGAAAGTGGCCTGGAAGGGCCAAGTTTGCCCATCACTCCTTTAGATCGATGGTTACAAACCAATCTTTGGATTGGATCTGAGACAGAATGGACTTTACTGTTAGCATCTTGAACTTGCTCACTCTGAGCACAAGATTTAGACGATGCAAGTCCAAAATCGGATGTAAACCACCATCTTTTTTTGGGCACAACAAAATACCGGCTGTAGAAGCCTGACTCCATCTGAGTGGGGAGTATCTCCTCTATAGCCCCTTTCTCTAGGAGTGACACGATTTCCTGACCTAAAATCGAGGCGTCCCCAGGACGTACCGTCGTAGGGAGAACCCCGCTGAAGGGAGGTGGCCCTTTCCGAAACTGGATAGTGTACCCGTGTCGAATGGTGCGTAGTACCCACCGTGAAATATCGGGCAGGCGTCTCCACGCGGCCCAGTAGTCTGCCAGGGGTCTTGGGTGTTCTACGGTTGAAACGTCCACCTGATTTTCCCGTATCGGATCCCGAAGCACCTGAGTGGCGGGGAAAAAGACCACCATCTTTTTTTGGGCACAACAAAATACCGGCTGTAGAAGCCTGACTCCATCTGAGTGGGGGGTATCTCCTCTATAGCCCCTTTCTCTAGGAGTGACACGATCTCCTGACTTAAAATCGAGGCCTCCCCAGGATGTACCGTCGTAGGAAGAACCCCGCTGAAAGGAGGTGGCCCTTTCCGAAATTGGATGATGTAAACGTGTCGACAATCAGAATTATTTTTGTGATAAAAGTAAACAAAAAAAAGTATTCATAAATACTCATGAATGTGCTGTTTACATTAGTAAAAATATTTTTTGTGTAATATATCATGACAGATTTGCTAGGCAATGCAATGATAATGTATACAATCACTCAATCACTTGGCCATCACTTATCTATACATCCAGTGCTAAATAGTGGAGGCCTAGTTTCTAGGCAGTGTCACTCACAGCACTGGTAGAGCCTGTTGATTCTGATGATGTCATTCTGGCTCATCTCAGTAGATGTACCCAGCGCAGCATTATTGTTAGGAATGGGAATCATAGTGGGGAGGCCATTCTTGGAGAAAGCATATCTGACAGAGCAAGTGACAGATGCAATTACATGACAGTCTTACACACAGAGAAACCGCATCTCCTTATACAGGACGCATTCACCTCTCGTACTGCATCACAGAGCTGTAGTCATAGGGAGTTCCCTGGTTTAGGGTGTTGATTTTGTTGAAGTTGTACTTCATGTCTGATGGGCAAACAAAACATTTAGTCTAGTAGATGTGCACTAAAGTACTGGACTAATCGCTAAATGTATTCTTCAAAAATGGATTTGTTATTAACAGTGTACCATCAATGATGTTCTCCCAGATGACTTGGATGTGGTCTGTTCATGGTTGAAGCCAAGAGCGTGGAGAAGCTCATGCTGTACAATGTTGTGGTAAAGGCAGCCATTACGGTCTAGAGACACAGTCTGGCTGTAACCTTGACGACCAACATACGAGTAGCATCTGTAAGACAATAAAATCCATCTCTTGATCACATATGTATTTTCATTATCATTATTCTAAAATTTAAGTGTAATTCTCATTCTGATGCTTCTACCTGTCATTCTTATCTTGACAATAATGTGAAATGTTCATTCTGATTTCCACTATGATCTATTCTCTAGTTTGTTTCTGTTTCATACCCACTGTGAGACTCAATGCTGATATAGTCTCTCTCATTGCTGCGGGGGAAGAAGTGGATACAGGTGCTGTAGGAGAAAGAGTCCAGACCACGCTTGATGATCTCCACCTCACGGGAGGCTGAAAGGGCAAAGGTCAGAGGTTGCTATGGAAATATTTACTTTGTTTCACACTCACATGCTTTTGCACTGATTATACTTGAGCGTTAGGCTCTGCCCTAAAATCAGGAACAATAAAGAGTCTGTCTAATTCTTTATTCTCTTTGGGCTCTAAATGAAAACATAAATCATACTACTAGTGACTTACAATAGTGGTTGGCGATGACGTAAGGCACATAAATCTTGCCGTCACTGTATTTGGGCCAGAGGCAGCTGAAGGAGGTGCAGGGCTCAGCATTTCTCTCATTCACAGCAATGTCATCCATTAGCTTGGGCTCATCAGGTTCAGGAACTAACACATCAACAGTTCATTTGGGACCGTTTAGTAAAGAACAGGTGCAGCATATTGATGTGTATTGGTGAGTATGTGGTGAGAACGTACTGATGCCTCTGTTGCCTCTGATATAAATGCCTCTGATATAAATTTGTATGTCTTACCATCTCCTCAGCTCTAACAGAGAAGACGAGAAGCAGGGCCAACAGGCCAAAAGTCACCTTGGTCACAAACATGGTGTCCAAAGACCTGTTGAAAGAACCAAGGCACAGCTGTTTAATGCCTCAAATGAAGGTCAACTTAAGCTCTTTTACTAATATTTATCAACGTATCATAATATCCATCCATTTTCTATGGTCACTGGGCAAAGGCAGGAAAACAGATGTGGCCAGTCCATCACAGGGCTCAATTTGTCACCATAACAATGATATTCAACATAACTTTAATGAATTCCGTGTGTTGCTGTAATACTACAAATCTATAAGGAGGACACAATGTGAAAATCTAATAAAATGGGACACAATACATTTCTGATCTACATTAGAATCACATACTGTATAATCATTATAAACGAGTACCTTTCCTCAACTAATGCTCAAACAATGTTACAACTTGGTGAAATATACATTTCTTTGAACAGAGACAGGGAAACAAACCAGTTCTCTTACCTTAGATTTCCAAAGCCAGTGCAACACTACAGTCACACGTAGGGTTTATACCTATACCGTATCTATACGATCTTTACTGATATGGCCAGAAGTACAGTAGACATGCTGACATGTTGTTTGAAAGAGAACAGGTGTGAAATTCCCTCATTTGTTGCTTTATAAAGGAACATGTCACACACAAACCTGATGAAATACAAGCGAGAACGTTCTCACATTTAAACACATGTAAACACTTGGGCCATAATTATATAATATTAAGTTAGTATTTATTCATTTGCTATACAAATTATTTTGTAAATTCATACATATATTGGAAATTAATTTCAGTTATTGTTTTGTCTCTGGTTTTATATCTTTCATCTATATAATCTGTTATGAATGTTTTCTTTTCTTTTTTTCTTCTTAAATCTAATTTGCCATTATTTCAACAAATATTTATGTTGTGATTCTTTCTGATGCTTTTGCATGCAGGTTCTGTGGCAAAACTATAGGACTGAATGCAGTTGTAATCTCTTTCATCTCACCAAATGTATCCAGGAGCTGTATTTTGAAGAATCTAAACACTAGAATCTCCAGCTCACTGAAGTTTGGAAGGGCAAAATAAGTGTAAACAAATAAGTGTACGTCCTTCATGATGAACTGAGCAATTAACAAATACTGTACTGTACAAATACTTTATTTGTTTTTTAAACATCAGATGATAAAATGCCATGACTAATAGATTTTTGGCTGTTGCTAACATACATGTTTAGTTAAATGTGTAGTTATTGACTCAAAATGAATTTGGGAAAAATATAAAAGCAGAAACTCTCATATTTGTCACCCCACTTTGTAAGCGCTTTTCTTTCTAAATCTATATCCTAAATCCATATCTCTGGTCTCAGCCATAATATTTTTACAACTGCTTTTACAATCAGTACAACTGCTTTTAATATTTTTCAAAGCAGTTGTAATGGAGTGAATTACTCAATATTAATTTCTTGGTTATTGAACTGTTGTATTCAAAACACAATCACTCTTGAAATCATGCTGTTAGTATGGATATGAAAAGCAAGATATTTGGTGCAACAGCAGTTGTTTGAGGTTTCTTTGTTTTGACAGTGGGTGATTCCACAGATGGTAAGAAGGGTTGAGAATGTGAACAGTTTGCTCAAATTTTACACAATAATGCTACCCGCTTTCTGTGTTTACAGACATGATGTAAGCATGACATTTCTCAACAAATGTGACCCAAGAGCTCAAAAATGTAATTCAGTGTTTTAAAAGTATGGTAGGCCTACTGAACTTTTGGAAACTATTTGTTCCCACATCAATTCAGTAAAAGATAACTATAACTATAAATTCATATTTTATTTACATTGTTACATTTAAAATAGCAAATGCTATCAAAAATGTATTATTCACACTAGTTTATAATAAATAAATCTGTGTGAATAATCCATTTTCTCTGAAAAAAAGTCACACAGTCAGTTAGGCCAGTCTTTAAAAATCAACTGACAAAAGCTTTGATGTTCTCTTTGAAAATGTATTGGCGATTCAATTAAGCAGAGAAGTCAACACCATCTATGATACTTGAGTCAACTTTTGTTGTAGTTTAGGCTGCATGTCTGGGTGCTGTAGGCATGTTTTTTGTTCCTATGTATGAGAAAATATATATATAACATTTTACATATATAACATTTTAATGTGCTATGTGTTCAACAACCTTCCAACAAATGTAATGTGTATTTTGTAGTTCATTTGTAAGTATAGTATGAGTTCTGGAGGACAGAGATGAATGTGTGTGATGCTACACTCACATCACTGGTAGAGCCTGTTGATTCTGATGATGTCATTCTGGCTCATCTCAGTAGATGTACCCAGCGCAGCATTATTGTTAGGAATGGGAATCATAGTGGGGAGGCCATTCTTGGAGAAAGCATATCTGACAGAGCAAGTGACAGATGCAATTACATGACAGTCTTACACACAGAGAAACCGCATCTCCTTATACAGGACGCATTCACCTCTCGTACTGCATCACAGAGCTGTAGTCATAGGGAGTTCCCCCATTCACTGTGGGTGTCATGGAGGAGGAACATGACACTTCCCTATTAAAAATAAATGCGTTATAATAATTGTTAAACTAAAATTGCTTGTGTGTAATGGCTTAATAATAATAAATAAGTCATATCATAATTATATAAATCATATAAAATAATTCTGAGTAATTATCATTAAAGCCAGACAATTTTGTAAGTTTTTTTTTACAGCCATTATGGTCTAGAGACACAGTCTGGCTGTAACCTTGACGACCAACATACCAGTAGCATCTGTAAAACAGAGATCCATAAAATATGAATTTTTTACCCATCTCAGAATACTATCTTTATCTCTTCATCAACAAGTTACATTTGGGATGTAATTCTCATTCTGATGGAATTCTGCTTCTTCCTCTGATTCTTATTCTAAACATGTTTGTTTGTAGTCCCATGGTGCTGATGCAAACCTTAATTTTGACTTCTGTATTTTTTGCATTGTCTTGAAACAAATTCTGTGTTGGTTTGTGATGTTTTTCTGATTTTGGTTTTGGTTGTGTTATGTTCCCACTGCGAGACTCAATGCTGATATAGTCTCTCTCATTGCTGCGGGGGAAGAAGTGGATACAGGTCCTGTAGGAGAAAGAGTGCAGACCACGCTTGATGATCTCCACCTCACGGGAGGCTGAAAGGGCAAAGGTCAGAGGTTGCTATGGAAAGGTTCATCTTTTTATTAAGTCTCAGCAGGATGCAGAGGTACTTTCATGACTTCAGCAAGGATACAGAATTTGACATACTTTTTACCTTTTTATGTAAGACGTAAAAACATAAATCATACTACTAGTGACTTACAATAGTGGTTGGCGAGGACATAAGGCACATAAATCTTGCCGTCACTGTATTTGGGCCAGAGGCAGCCAAAGGAGGTCTTTTCTGTGTCAGACATGTCACTTTTCTCACATCTGATTGGTCCAATTTCAGTTTGCGAACTCTTACCCAGAACATAACCTGCCCCGGAGCAGGTTAGCTGTGGAGTGTAAGTTACTATGGCAATGAACACCGCTAAAAGCCAAGCCACTTTCATGGTACCAAAAACCCAGGATTGGTGCAAACTAAACTGAAACTTACCTGCCTAGCCAGCTAATCTGGCTTCATTGTACAGGCCCCAGAACTGGTAAACGGAAGCTCAAACGAACCTGCTTGATGCATGTGAGATCCAATCGGATTTTGTCAAGCGCATTACGCAAGCACACCTGAGCTTCCACAAAAGCTAATGAGGTTTGTTTTCACACATGACGAGGTAGGTTGAGCTTGTTTGAATTTAGATACATAAACAGGGATTTTAAGCATATCTTTGGAAAAATGACTTATGATGCATTTATAACAATACAATGTTGAAATGCTTGTGGAAAGTACAGTTAAATAGTAGCTTGTTACAAGTAATGTATCATGTTATGTATTTAAAAGTGAAATTAAAATGTACTTGAATTGTATTACAAAACAGCCTAGTATTCTTTTATAAGTACACACAAGTAAAGCCGAACAACATATTGATATTGAGTATGCTTATTACTAAGGCATAGTTGACAAAATTATATTTATAATTCATTATAAGTTGGTACAATGTAAGAATGCATTTGTTTATTTTATAGCTATAATGTATTTATGCGCAAGTGAATTAATATATTTTATAAAATATTGTTTTTCAAGATATTTTCCTTTTGAAAAGCAGGCTGAACATGTTCATTACAGAAATATTTAAAATATATTTCAGTATGTCTACATATGGTTTATATATATACTTTTGTCACAATCTCTACCCGGTCTCATGGCAAATACGTACCTGGGGGCACATTTTTGCAAGACGCGAAATACGTACCAATAAGTACATATCACTGCAGTTTCCAAAAAAAATGAACACTAGAGGCAGTAAAACTCCGAAACCTTTTAAATTATTTTCACACAGAGTATGATTTACAGAGTTTCGATTAATAAAGCGTAATTTTCGCACAATTACTTGAAGAGTATTATGTTGTGACTTCAAAACATTTTTAATATGCTGGGAGATTTGAAAACTGATGCTTTTGATTGTTAGCACCGCACATATCCAGCTTCATATCAATGGGTTTTCATAGACAGTAGGTTTGTTCGGTAGCTCACGGAGTACGGAGATGTACTTGAGAGGTGAGGAGCTCCAGTTCGAATCCTGTGTAACTACGGTTCGACAAAACAGTTCAAATCTGCACATAAGGAAGTTAAAATGGCACGGTTGCATCAAAAAATGTGTTTTTATATCAGTTTTGCATTTGTTAACACTATCGGGTAGGTTTAGGGTTGGGTTTGGTGTAGGGCATATTTCCAACACGACAGAGCATTAACTTTTAGCGACAGTCCCCGGATATTTGAATTCTGAATCGCCGCAATACGTACCTGAAGAAACGCAATAAAAACACAGCAATACGTACCTATATCAACGTAATAAAAACGTGCCAGGGTGGACGTATTGAACCCGTGTTTTAGCGCCACTCAGTGGACATTTCTCTTTGAAACTGCGGCGAAACGTGCAGTAAGGTACGTAAAAACGGTGTTGCAGAAATGTACACAGAGGTACGTATTTTTATGAGACTGGGTTGCACAATCTGCAGCATCATATTTAAACCCTGTTCCCTCAGTCATTCATTGCTTAGTCTTGTATTGTGTCACACTGCAGTTCAGTGCTTTCCTGTCCTGGTTCCCTGTGTCGTGGTTTTGATCTTTGCCTGGTGTCCTGGTTATTCCTGTTTGTTTTCTGCTCTTTTTGGAATTGCTTGGACTGACCTTCTAGTATACTTCTTAAAAATATATTAATATGCAATTCAATACATTTTTAATGTACTTCAAGTAAGCATGTTAGGAGTACAATTGTACTATAAATATGCTATCTGAATTTCAAGTAGGCTACATTTTTAATACATTTAAGAGTACTTTGTTTTCACCTGGGGTGTTCAAACTTTTTTTATCAACTAATTTCAATTAATTTTTGAATTGTAGTTGTTAGTTCACAATACATGACATTTGTTTATTCATTTTTAATTTGTTACATTTAGGATAGTTGAATGAAAATGACACAAAGGGGAATTTTTATTTACAGTTTTTCTCAGTCGCTTTGGCGCATTTCTCAAATCATCCTTAATATTTGCAAAAAAGTATGTGCATTTCTCAAAACAATTCTTACAAACAGCACCACACAATGGATTACCTACAAAAGCCTGGAACTTACTCAAAATCTTTAGTTCATCTCTCAAAAGTAAGTATTTATGTCAATGAACATATCAGTGCCATCAGAATGAAAAGTCCTTGTGTCATTGTTCACAAACAAGATAGTCAAAATGCTTAGTCATGTTGTCAATATAACAGTGCACTTTGTTAGTATTACCTGATGTAAACTATGGCAACATTTTGGATGACAGTTACAGTATTGAAATCCACTTCTTATGTATGCCATATATCCAGTTCAAAAGTAAAAATGTACACATTACTGTATGTGGGATATTGATTGAAAGAGACTGGATAGGATTCACAGTTACACTTTTACTAGTGGTCTGACAAAAAAAACACAGACACACACACACACACACACACACACACACACACACACACACACAACGTCATTGTGATATAGAAAAGAAAAAGTAGTATGGGCACAAAGGCAAGGTAAGGCAAGTTTATTTATATAGCACATTTCATACACAATGGTAATGGGTTCCCGCTTGTTCTGTAAACATTTGTGAATGTTGTGAATGAAGCTTTAAGGCGAAAATACAAAATTAGAAAGGCAAATACAGAAAACACCCCTTAGGCAGAACTTTGCTTTTGCATACAGCACTGTATGAGGAATGGCTACACCTCCTGACGTGCCAGTCTGTCGGGCCACAGATTCTCATCTACATCACAACGAATATCTTCCCTTGCAAAGCAACATGGAAAAAATCTTTTGGAATGTCTTATCCAGCCTCTGCAGGCGTCTACTGTGATGTCCTCACAGGCTACATCCATGGCAGCCAGCAGGGTCATCTGAGTATGTGGCGATCATAGACCTTCCACCTCCATGTTGAGTAGAACTCCTCAGTTTGGTTAAGGAATGGGGAATAAGGTGGGAGGAATTCCATCAGCATCCTATAGTGGGTCGCAAACCATTGCCTAATGGCGTGTGAGTGATGGAATCTCACATTATCCCAAATTACCACGTACTTTGGTAAATCATCTCGGAATGGACCCCTCTCATCATCAGGGATGAGAGTCCTGTAGAGGGTTTCTAAGAAGGTGAGGAGATGCTGTCTGTTGTATAGCCCTATACGGGGAATGTGAGTTAGCACGCCGTTCTCTGAAATGGCAACACACATACTGATATTTCCTCCCTGTTGGCCTGGCAACTCAACAGTAGCTCTGTGGCCGATGACATTTCGACCATGCCTTCTGCTTTTGGTCAGGTTGAAGCCAGCCTCGTCCACATATATGAAGTTGTGAGCTGGTTCACTTGACTCCAATTCCATTATACGCTGTATCCCAAAACACACAAAAATTGTTTCATGAATTACATCCATTTTCATTTTGAACAACGTACAGTTACCTCAAATTTATACATATTGCATGTATTTTATTTTCTTCTACAGCCATAGGAAATGTGTACAGGTCACTATGAAATGTTGCTGTATGTACATAGATATTTTACCTGTACACATGGGAAATGCAGAAATGCGAAATACATGATTTTGCACATAAAACAGAAAAAAGTGCAAACACACAAATATATTTAAAAAATAAATAAATGTGTGTGTTTGTGTGTTGCAGTTTGTATCTGTATAAAATATATTTGCTGTATGCTGCAAAATACAAATGAACACTGTATTATGAATCATTACAGCAAGTATACAGTATAACAATACATTGCACATTGGTTGACATGCCTGTTCTCTCTACGAAATGTTTGAATTATTGAGGATACGGTCAATCTCCCAATATTTGGTTGCACCCTTTGCCTCGCCTCAGCCATTGTAAGGCCATGATTGACAACATGGTCCACAATAGTGGCCCTTATTTCATCTGATATGTGCCGCTGTCCTTGCCCTCTTCTGCCTCTTCCTCTGTTTTGCCTCTGTACCCTTCCACCATGCATCCTTACTCCTCTTCTTCCTCTCGGCTGTTGACCCTGATCGTTTCCTGGATGTTCATCCATTGTTGGAATTTGTAACTCTTGTGTTGTCCTCTGTCTATATATGCTTTCCAGTTGAAGGTTCATGAGATGCACCTTTGAGCTATTTCTGAGAACTGGTTTGTTATTGGTTGATCTAAATTCTCTTCATTAGTGAAAGTCAAGATTCGCCTGCACATTTCATGGCAAATTTACAAAAAGACTAATAGAAATGTGTAAAAAAAATATGCTTGACAGTTTATGACAACTAGATCAACCATTTTGCATTTAATTGCTTATACGATTAACTAATGACTAGATGTTTTGAGGGGTAAGACTATTGCACAGAGAACTATATACAGTGAACTAAATAATGCATTTTGAGCAACATGACATTAGCAACTGATAAAGTAGGAAACCGCAGACAAATGTACATAATGAATTGCATGAATGCACCAAAGCAATCGGGAAATAGAGAACCCTCAACATAGCAACAGCATGCCTGTTTTTGAGTGACAGTAATAATAATTACAATACTCCAATGCCTAATAATAAAAAATGATTCAGTCTACAGGTTAATGATTAGGCTCTGTAAATAATGTATTTCATTTGTCAGAAGAAAATCAATTGAACATTTGATAGATAGATAGATAGATAGATAGATAGATAGATAGATAGATAGATAGATATCCTAAAACAGTAAACAATTGATTCCTCTGGAAAGTATGAACTGATACAATGTATCTCTTGTAAGTTGCTTTGGAAAAAGTTGCTTA